GCAAATGCAGCCGACAGACGTAAAGCCATGTGCTGGCAGCAGACGCTTCGCACCCCTTAATAGCGGATCTGTTGCCGGTAAGACTGTCTGTGCTGCCTGGCATCTCAGTAGCCAGGTGAAACTCCCCAGGCAAGGTAAGGATCATGTTGTGTTGAGTTTCAGTGAGTTTCCTGTGTGTAAAAGCCAGTTTTGGGGTCAGTGTGGAGCCTGGTCCAGTCATGAGCTGGGGAGACGTGACCAAGGACTCATTCACAGGCTGCACTGTTACTCTTGTGTGTCTTTTCATTCAGAACTCTTTCTTTTTTATTTCCCCACAGTGTCCATCATTTTGAACAGCACCGGCTGTGATTTAGCACGAAAGATGCCTGTTCAGTTTTCCACCTGAACAAGTGCCCTCTGGACCCAGGTGTGCACTACATGAGCACTTTATGTTCCTGACTCCTTATCAGCGTTTCCATTCATACTCTAAGCCAGTCTTTAATCTGTAAAGTTCCACTTGGTGAGATTTATACAGACACGAGTAAAGAGCACAGTCAGAGGATCTTTTTGCTTCTGCCTCATTTAACAGGCTATTCCCAATTTCCCTCTGGGTCTGTGTTTTCACCTCTTGAATGCTGGGATTTGTAGGCCCCGAGGTGCTGCCAGCGAGGGTGAGAGGGTTCAGAGATGGAGGAAGCCAGGGTGTTGCTGCAGTCCAGCAGTCTTATTCACATTAACGCAGGTACACCCACTCAGTATGTGTCTTGTATGTATATCAGGTCTGGCTGTACAGAGTCCTCCAAAGCTGTAGTGTAATCCTGGTCAACCTCTGGGGTTAGTTGCTCTGTTGGCCTGTGGAAAAATGGGTACTCTTAATGTATTCTGTGTGTTTTGCAGGAATATTTCCAGGCACTCTACACCAACCTGGCTCACCTGGACAATAAAAGCTGTTATAACAGGCTGCTGTTTGTGGACTACAGCTGAGCCTTCAACAGAATCATTCCATGCTGGCTCACGGCTAAGCTCCTGAACTTGGGGTTCAGCTCTTCACTATGTAACTGGATTCTGGACTTTCTCACCGGCTGACTCCCAGCAAAGTGTACATTGGTGGGAAGACCTCTTCCTCCATCATCACCAACACGGGCAACCCCGCAGGGCAGTGTGCTGAGCCCCCTGCTCTACTCCATCTTCACCCACGACTGCATAACCAAGTACTACTCCAACTCCATCTTGAAGCTGCTGACGACACCACCGTCATTGGTCTGATCTGCAACGATGATGAGGAGGTCAGAGATCCTGAAGGATGCTGTCGAGATAACAACCTCACCGTCAACGTTAGCAAAACCAAGGAGCTGGTCCTGGACTTTCATAAGCAGGTGACTCTCCAAAGTCCTAGCTACATCGCAGAGGATGCTGTGGAGCAGATCAGCAGGGTCAAGTTCCTCGGGCACACAGCTTCCAAGACATCGTCTTCACACACTGTCTGACATGACACTAACATTTCCTCACACTGCCACTATTACCTCATGCTGTACCGTTGCTGTGTCTGTCTATGTTGTTTCCATTACTTTAATTTTATTTATATTGTTTTATCACTGGTGCTCCCTGTTTATACTGTTGACATTAGGGCTGCCACTACCCACTATTTTTCTATCGAATGTTTTTACCAATCTAAACCATTTTACCAATCATCTAAACCATTAATTCACCGTTTAAGTTAATATTATCTGACAACAACAAACTCTATGTCATTGCTGGGCTTTAGATAATGGATGCCGGCATTTGGGCACTCTACAGGCATTATTTTCGCCCACCATTCGGTAAGCAGATTAGTATGCTTAAAATATTTAGGAGATTCGTATTGTGATGCCCAAAAGTTAGTAATCTGTACAAAATCAGTGTATCTTTATGTTTCTTAAATTTGCTTAGCGGAGCACCACATGCAGCTGTTTTGGTAAATAATGGAAGCAGTAAGTCCTGTAGTCACTGTGAAGAAAGGGCAAGCATCTACGACATCTGGGCTAGGGGGCAGTAATGCTGTGAGATCTCGCGAGAGCTGTGCNTGCCCCTATAGGTTTCACTTATAGTAATGTTTTTTCAGAGCATAATGTTAGACCTTCTTATGCATTAACATTAGCCTAATAACAAACCACACAGGCTAAGTGGCGAATTAGTTTCAGAAAGACACAATTTATTCATGATAAAATGAGAATGAAAACATGACCATGATCGATTTTACCTCACCAAATAAGCCTGGTTTAAATAGAGAACTTGGCTTATCTTGCTAGTTAACGTAACTAATGTTGACTGTACCGGTGTTCTATCGAGTTGAGCTACTTTGTCGAGGTAAGCAATTGTTAGGGCTATCGATTATGTCACGCCCGGCTCGTCCGATCCTCGTGTGTGCCACGCCCCCCTCGTTACCTTGTGTTACTTCCCGATTGTGATGACCTGTTCTGTTCAGCCTATCTTGTGTATTTAGTCCGCGTCTGTGTCAGTATTCCCCAGATCTATCATTGATGTTCGTGTCTCGTTGTCCTGTGGATTTTCTCAATAAACCCTGTCAAAATACTACCTATCGAGACGTGCTATCGAGCCTTTCTGCGCATGTGCAGTTCCACTGTCTTGGGATTAGGGTAAGGTTTTAGGGGTTAGGGTTAAGGTTAAGGTAAGGGTTTTAAGGGTTTTGGGGGGTTAGGGTAAGAGTTAGGGTTAGGTCTATCTATTAGGACTACGGTAGCATTTTTCAACAAGGCAGCATATATCGACAGAACACAGGCTCGACTCGCCTGCTTCCCCGCTCGCCTGCTTGCCGACACGACAGATTAGCACTACCGTAGCTTTCCTCGACAAAGTAGCTCAACTCGACAGAACACCGGTCTCAGAAGGACAATGGTAAGTAATTTAACTTATAAAGACGTCAGCTTGCATTAGTAGATGAAACACTTAAACGAATAAATGAAGGTTGGAAAATAACACAATTTCAACAGGCTAGACTTCTGCTGGCTACTTACATTTACCAACGCACGACAAACAGTACCATGACAGACTAACAGAATGAACAGGTCACTCAAGGAGAATGAATGACGCAACCGACTGGCTGCTTCTAGTACCGAGGTGGTTAATATGGTACAGTCCACATTAGGGGTGTCTGAAATCGTTTTACATAAAATCTTCCTACAAGGTGAGGTTATCTTTTTTTTTTAAACAACAAAAGAAAAACACCCCCCCCCCCCAAACTGCTATTTTTTGTCTCTTTGGGGGGGTCTGGGTCTTGATCGGGAGGTACAGTATCCCCCAGTACCCCCTGTAATTCGAACCATGGCTGCAAGTAGTACATCGTGGTGCAGAGACTGGTGTCCAGTATGGGGATGGAGAATCACCAGCTGAGGAGGATGACCATTACGGACAGGAGCTGCCATCACCCAGCTCTAGAAGGGAGGCTTCCCCTGCAGCTCCAGCATCCACGACTGAGGATGCTAATGGGCTTCCTGAGGCTCTCCCCTTGGCCTGGGGTGAAGATCAAGTTTTCAAGTTTCAGGTTTTTATTGTCATATACAGATAACAATGTAGCATCATTACCCGCAATGAAATTCTTAGTCTCATGTTCCCCCAACTTTACATAAAATCACAAGCATATAGACATATAACATATAAACATATAGGAAAAGTGTACAGACAAATTAAAAAAACATTATAAAAAACTGAACTCCATATAAAAGCCCTCATCTCCATCATCATCTGTGGCTTCTGACACTCAGCCTGAAAGTCAGGTTGAGCCAGAACATGCTGGGCCCTCCAGCTCCACCTTCTGGATCCCTGTGGGGGATTCAGCTTGAGATCGAAGGCCGCAACTACCTGCGCAAGCTGGATGAGCTCAGCATCCCCGAGGGACTCTGGAGTATTACGGACTACGGTGATGATCACACCGTGGTCATGTCCGTGCATGTCTCCGTGCATGTGAGCAGTTCTCTGTGAACATGGGGCATGAGGCAGGAGGAGAGGCCTCCTCAGAGGCCTGCTGGCACCAGTCAGAGGAAGCGGAAGTCCGTATTAATGGTAATATAATAAACATAAATAGACAACACTTATGGTGGAGTTTTGCTTATTCTGGCGGTCCATCATCCAGAATAGTGCCTGTGTGTTTTCCCTTCAGGTGCTCGTGTATAGCACTAGTGCTGTGTGGTATGCAATTGAAACTTTGCACAGTGTCAAACCACCTTTGTGTTTTGAGATAATTTCAACTACTCCCATGATTACATAGTGATATTAATGGAAAACGTTTGTTATAATGAATTGAATCGACTAATCACAGCAGCCCTAGTTGACATCATTATTTTTTTCACCCTATTTCTATTCCCAATTGTGTCTACATGTCATATTTCTGACACTTTTAAGTGAATAATGTTTTTGTGTATTTATGTCATGTTTATGTACATTTTCATTTCTGCTACCTGATACTTGTATTTGTTATCGCTTAAAGTGTCAGGCTTGGAGAAAACACAAGCACGAATTTCATGGTATTTTGGTACAGTACATCCTGCACTTAAAACATATGACAATAAATCCTGAATCAGAATGTTCAGCTGTTTTAGGTGAACTCCATGATGTCCTGTAATAAAGTTGTTCAAAATAAAGGTTGTGATGAGATATTCCTCTTGTTTCTCCTTTGGACTGTGGTTATGTATAAAAGCATTCAGGAAGGAATCTGATCTGAATGCTTCACCTGCAGTGGGTGTCACTATTTCAGTAGGACCAGCGGGGTCTTTATGGTAAATATTGTGGTGTTCGACATTTTATGTCAGTACATAAATTCAGATGCGTAGATATTTATTACATGAAATATTTAGGTTATACATAGAAGATATGTGATTACTTTTATTATTACCATTGTACCATTTTGCACAAAGTGTCTGCTTTGAAATAAATTAAACAGATAATTCCTTAGCGGGTTATACTTGACTGATAGAAGTGTGAATGTTTTCAGGGTTCAAATGCTTACCCTTTGTTAGACATAGTGAATATCTAGCAAGGCCCCTGATGGCCGCACGTTCGCTACGCCTGCGGCACCGCCTGAGGTCGCCGCTTTGTCCATCCTCTCCCGTCCAGCCCATCCAGCCCGGCTCTCCCGTCCAGCCTGGCTCTCCTGTCCAGCCCTACTCTTCTGAACTGCCCGTCCAGCCTGCGGCCTCGCCCGCGGCTCCGGCTGCCCCACCTGCGGCCATGCCCGCGGCTCCTGCGGCATTGACTCAGGTTCCCCCAGCAATGGCCCCAGTCCCCGAGGATGTCCCGGACAATTGGACCCCCGCTCCTCTCTCCTTGGATGAGGAGGAGCTTGAGTGGGACCCCTCGGGGACCTCCCTGATGCCTCCTTTACCCTTACCTCAGCGAGGCCGACACCCCCCTGGACCCCGCCTGTCAGTATCCCGGAAGGGCTCGGGGTGCGCCTGCGGCTCCTCCGGCTCTGGGTCGGCGGTCGCCTGCGGGTCCCCCTCCGCGGCCTCGTCCCCCGGCCTCGGTCCCACCTCCGACTCCATGTCGGTCGCCTTCGGGCCCCCCTGCTTCGGCGGGGCGTCGGACGGCGCCTTCGCCGGCCGCGGCTTTCCCCTCCTGCCTGCCTTCGTTGGTGTTCCCTCCTGTTCCCTCCGTGTCCCCTCCGTCTCTCCCTCGTCCCGTTCCCTCGGTCCCTGTGTAGTCCCCTCCTGCTCCCTCCTCCCTCTCCCCTGTGGCCCCTCCGGCCGTTGCCCATCACCCGCCTGGGCTCCCTCGGTCTCCCTGTTTTCCCCCTTTCGTTCCGGTCTGGTCCCCCCTGTCTGCTCCTCCTTTCTTCGTCCCGCCTGTTTCTCCTCCTCGTCCCTGTGTTCCTCCTCCGTGCACTCCTGGCCTCTTCGTGTCGCCTGTGGGTTCTTCCTCCGTGTCTCCCTTCTCTGTCTGTCTGTCCGTGTTTCCGGTCTTGTGTGGGGTTTTGTCCCTATGCCTGTTTTGTGCTTCTGTCTTGTTCCCAGTCCTTCGTTGATTTTCTGCTTTTGTTTTCCAGCTCTTGTCCCTCGTCTCGTCCGTCGCCT